GAAGCTTTTCACCCAGTTCTGCCGTGCTGCTGAATCCATGTTCGCTCACCTTTCTACATTCGCTGGGTAGTTCTCCTATTGGTGGAAAATTCGTTCATAAAGATTCCACTTATTTGTTTTCAAACTTTCAACAAGTACTTGTAACTTATTAAAAAAGTAATTTCTGCTGTTAAAGAACTCACTTACATAAATTAAAATTTACGTACATCCAAGCACAGCACACCGTAGCCAAAAGTACAGATATTAATAAGGCCCCCAAAAGCAAAATAAATGAAAGGTTGTGTTAACCAAGCAAACAAACAAAGAAGGAACGCAGCACTGATAAACAATTCTTATTTTAGATTCTAAGATCTGATACCAAAGGTGTTTCAGTTGGGTATATTTTTTTAGTTTTAACATTAAAATAATACAAAGTATTATTTTGGACAGATGTGTTTACATACATACATGTTTACATGTACACATTCATATGATATATCTATTAATAGTTTTACACATAAGAACTAAGGGACAGAAGAAGTAAAATAGAATTAATTTTAGAAATCATAAACTCAGCTGACTATTTTAGCTGTAATATATTCTCCTTACAGAAAAATATGAAAATTAGTATCAAAAACATTTTGTCTGCTTTAATAAAATACTTAGTAAAAGTACTGTAAATGTATTATTTAGCATTTCCCATGATAGATACATTAATTATTCTTAGGGTAATAAATGTACCATTTAAGGAATTCTCAGATCTTTAACTTATATTAACTAGTAAAGAAGTAACAATATTGAGAGTTTGGGTCAAATCAATATTTATAAAATAATGAAATACATTCTTATTGGAAGTGAATCAGTGAATTATTGTTTATCAGAATTTGACGGTAGTCAAACTTTCATAAAACAATCATGAGAGAATCCATGTTGTCTTAACTAGAATAATTTTAAATTCCAATATTTAAAATATTTCATTATAATGTTTTTGCCATTCATACTGTATCTAATTACACTGTAACTTGAAACTGATAATTTATGAAAACATGATTTTTTTTTGTTTTTTGGCGGAACCAGGGCTTGAACTCAGGCCCTTACACTTGCCAGGGAAGCACTTATTCCACTGAGCCATCGCCCCAGCCCCATGGAAACACGATAAATCTACACAAAGCATGAATTCCTTCACTGCAAAATAAAAGGGTACATTATTCTATATAAGTAAATCCTAGTAATGTTATGGTAAAAAATATATGGAATTAGAAGTTAGTTTCAAGATTACTACTTGAGGTAAAAGCTGAAAATCTCTACCAATCAAAATTACCCTTAAAAATTCTTTGCTCCTGGAGAGTCTGAGTCTCTTTGAACAAGCTATATGTGGCTTAACTCTTAAGGACTCTGGAAGGAATCTTCCCTGGGATTCAGGGCTGAATCTTTACCAAAGGCCTAGACTTCTTTTCTTTGGTTTTTCTCTCTCATATTGATCTCACTTTTTATAAATGATGGCTCAGTTAAAAATGGAAGCAGGGATGACAAAGGATGATGGAGAAATTTAGTGTTTTGTTATTTATACATAATTGGGGGACCGGGGTTCGGTCATGTATCTCATGACTATACCATTTTGAGTTTAGTTACCCTTCATAGTGGCTTCTGCCTTCCTTTCGAACCACTATTCAACTCTAGTATCACATTTTATATTTTGGGGGATTAGCTATATTTTTTCTTAGAAATTACAAATTACAGTGCCATTTGTCTCTGGGATGTTTCATTTAGTTAGTATCAGAATATCTTATGATTTGACTGGAAACAAAGATTTGGTTTTTTCATGTATAAATGTTAAAAAGCTATTACAGCACCTACCAACAAATATTTGAATTATTGCTATATATTCTCAAAGTTTCCTACAGATGTTTATACTAATAAATATTATTAAATAAGAATTCATGTCATGATACTAAATAGGAAATGTCTCCATGGCCAACAGTTTTAAGCAAGTTATTTAATTATAGTATTTCGAAGAGTGTTCACTGCTCTAATCTGCATTTTTGGGTATTTAAGAGAATTCAAAATGTTGTTTAAAAATTATTTGACTAGCCTATGGAATATACTTTGAAAGCACTGCTGTACTTTATTAAGTTTCAGTATCAAAATGACTAGTGTACCCTTATTAATTTTTAGCATAAATAAAACTATATGTGTTAGAACATTGAATGTTGTATTTGAAAATAAGGGATCTCATATCTTTGTTTTTAATTTTATGTATTTGGTATACATTCTCACTATGCAGCTTAGACTTGTCGTAATCTTCCTGTTTCAGCCTCCCCAGCACTGGGATTACAGTCATGCGTCACCATGCCTGTTTTTGGTTTTGGCAGGCTCCATGTGCCCGGTACCATACAGCGTGCAGTACCGGGGACTGAACCTGGGTCCTTGCACTTGCCTAGGCAGGTGCTTAGACAGCTGAGCTATCTCTGCAGTCCCTGGATCTCATATCTTTAATTAGGTGGCAAAAAAATTTCTGAAACTTAACAAATTTCAAGAATGTGTTTAATCCATTTTTTCTTTATACTCTTTGTTTTCTATATACTCTTTGTTCTCAATACACAGACATAGTCAAACAGCTGCTACTTCTTTCTTCTGAGATGAAGCTAGAATAGCTTTCAACATTCACAATTTCATATAATTGGTGAGTGCAACTGCAATCTGCCAAATTCTTTGCTATATTTGCTATATTCTTATATTCTTTACATGAAAAAGAAATGGAAGGACATTACATTAACTGAAGGACTGACCTGGCTTGTTTCCCTGTTGGAAAACATCTACTAATTGTTTTCAGAAAGTTTCTGTAGCATAAGTCCCTTTCTCTCTCCACATCTTTAGTAACCTAGTTCTCTTTGGCCTTTATATGACTGCACTGGCAGTTGATTTAGTAAGGTCAGTGTCCCCTCGTTGTTCACAGCCACTGTGCAATAACTTTTCTTTTACCTTATCTTATAATGAAGTTGAAAAATGCTGCTATTTTCTGGCTTCCTGGGCCAGGTTTCATCATTCTCACATGAATTCTCTAGAACATTACCTAATAAACAATAAATGCCCTCTCTTATCAAACATGTACAGTGATAAATTGCCTGCTCTTTGCTGAACATGTAGAAGTTTCTGTTATTTGGTGAATAGTGGGTACTGCCCATCTGAGAAATGTTTTTATGGGAAAGGCAGCAGTTCATATTTTAAAAAGTACCAATTATAGAACAGAAGGCCAAAGGTCTAATTCATCCTTAGAACAGTGAAAAGGGGCTAGAATTAGGTAATTTCATGTCTAAATTATATTCAATTTAGACTAGAGTAAAAGGCTGCAGTATAGGTGTGATAGGTAATATTACAGTTTAAAGGGTAATGAATATATATTCCCAGTACATTTAGGTATGTAAAAATAAATAGCTCTAATAGACCCAAGAAGTGTTTATTCTGGTGAGTACTTTGATAATAGGACTAGCCTTTTACTTTCTTCTTTTTTTTTTTTTTTTGGTGGAACCAGGGATTGAATTCAGGCCCTTGTGCTTGCCAAGGAAGCGTTTATTCTACTGAGCTATCTCCCCGGCCCCAGGACTAGCCTTTTAATGTTTCTTAGATTGGATATTAGTAAATATCAATACTATCCTTTAAAAGTAAGTAGGTTTTCATCTTCAAAAGTTTTCCATGTTTTATGTTAATCATGTAAATATGATCTAATAGTAAATCTAATAAAGTTGTGTTAGAGATTATGTTTTCAGAAACACTACTGAAGTAATTTTTTTTTTTTTTTTTTTGCAGTACCAGGGATTGAACTCAGGACCTTGTGCTTGCCAGGCAAGCACTTATTTTACTGAGCTATCTGCAAGTAAAATCTGAAGTAAAATTGTTTTGATATAAAATCATCACATGAGGGCTGGGGAGATGGCTCAGTAGAATAAGCGCTTGCCTGGCAAGCTCAAGGGCCTGAGTTCAATTCCTGACTATACAAAAAAAAAAAAAAAAAAATTGGGCCAGGGATATAACTCAGTGGTATAAGTGCCTGCTTGGCAAGCACAGGGTCCCAAGTTCAATCTCTGGTACTGCACAAAAAATAAATACACACATAAATAAAATAAAATCATCCATGGTTAAAGAGTTTTTCTCCCCTTACTAACATAATATAACTTTTTAATTGAATTTTTAGTTTACATACAGTTAGAACTACACAGATATTACTCTTATTCTATATTACCAATGTCACATGTTTATGAATATTTTACATTTTCAAATATTCATATTCAAGAGTATGTATGTCAATGCTTAACAATGTTTTAATTCTCTAATTCTCCAGATTACTATGTACATTCTCTTACTGTAAATGTTATATAGTCTTGGAGAATATATCTTTTTGCTTTAGTTGAATTTTTCCTTGGGAAAGAACCCATAAAGTAGAAGAATATTTTTATAGAAGTGTATGAAAATTCCTTGACAGTAGGAATATGGTAT